TAGTATCCCAATTCTGACCTCCCCTTTAAAAGTAGGGAAACTTATTTTCCAAAGATTTTCAAAAAAACATATGTACAAAGTTGTCTCTTTCTCTTCTTTTTATTTATCTCCTTTTTCCTTCAGAAAAATAATCTTGTACAGTGAGCTCAAGGAGGCATCATTTAAATATACTCCTGGCTGATATTACTATGGGCTAACTGCAAAAATGTTAGGTGTCAAGAGATACTTAATGCAGTTTTTACTGCAGCTGTAAATTAATATAAAACCCCAATCTAATTAGTTGAAATTCCCTATATCTACCCAAGGGATAGAAGACATACTTTACAATATTTATGGAGATCATGAAATTAAAGATCCAATCCAAATAATATATCTACAAAATATTTCTGTTTAATCACATGAGCAAGATTTGTAAATAACAAAGTTCAATGCTTTGGAACAGATGGGCATTCCTGTTTTAGTTCTTTATCTGATCTACTGTAGGCTAGTAAATCTCTGGTTTTCATTTGTTTTATCCAAATCCTTTGCCTATTAAGGACATGCTACATTATAGGACTCTGCTGGAGACTTTTATGCCTTTTAACATGTATACAGCTATATCCATTCTACACACACTTATACATACATATTGAACTGTTTGATTAGAAAACTAGCACAGAAAAGATAAGCACACATACTGTTGGAAAAATGTTCTCTGGGTTTTGCTCATGCAGGCATGCATACACACATGTGTGCGCACTCTAACACACATTAAATACATATGGCAATCTTCATAAGTCGGGGTCCTTGATCAGTTTTTATGCATCTAAATCAGGTGTCAGATTAAAAATGTTTAACTTTTAGAAATGTATTGCACAAAAACAATGAAAGAGAGTGAATTCTGAGCACTTCTGAAAATCTGTTGATCAGTTTTAATCTACTGTTTTACCTATGGACTTCAGTAAAATGAGATGTAATTTATTTAATTCTACAACCAATATTTTGCACTAGTATTCAAATTTGCATAGTCAAAACACTACACAAAGAGTATATAATCCTGTGCCAAGATATTTTTGTTCATCTGTTTAGATGAAAAATATTTTAAAGAGGTATAACTAATGTAATAGTTTATAATATTTAACCATTTTTTGAACACTCCCAAATCAAAAGCTGGCTTGAATATAGCATAAGTCCTCTTGACATCTTAATTTTCCAAACGAGATTGTGAAGCTATGCAGTGATGTTCATGTCAGCTAATACTTAACAAGCTGGCAACATTAACGCCAGATCCATCTCTCTTTACCCACTTGAGCTATGATGAATGAAATCAGATGGTGCTAAGTAGTATTAATTGTACATTTAGGTCAGGATTTTCAGACACTTAGGAAAGTTAGGTGCCCAAATCCCTCTAAACTTGAATACCTGTTATAGACCACTTTAAAAGGCCTATCCTCAATCTAATTCAAAGCCGACTTAATCGGGGAAAAACTCCAATTACCTTCATTTGTCTTTGGACAAGGCCCTTTGAACCATTCTAAGGGTAGCTAGAGACCTGTGTCTCCCACCCTCCCTAACAATACATTCGTAAGAAAGATTTAATATGAAACTAGAAAACCTGATGAGAAATGAATGGGGAAAAGCACCAGAAATATCAATATATTTTGAAAGAAAACTATTTCTAACCATACCTGCAGCCTATTTGTCTGAACACACCCAAATATTTTTAGCACTTAATATTTACAGACAAGATATCTGTGATACAAGGTTTGAAAATAAATGGCCAAATCTGGGTTACATTCCTGATTGGCAGGAATCTCTGCCACATAGGAAAAATAGTTTTGTCCTACTTTCCAAAGAGAGAAAAATTAGAGAGAGAACATGCTGCTTTTCATTTTAGGTCAATATCTTCACCCAGGGAGAATCCAAAAAGCTACACCACCTTTTAGCATACAGAAGTTATGCCATCTAACTCTGGGTGCTTCACTAAAATCAAAATAGCCAACTATTGCTTTATGCCAATGAAAATAGACTGAGAACAGAGATTTTGCAGTTGCTTAGTATAAAGTTTTATTCATTGTCACTAGTATAATTCAAATCACTTTGGATGACCTTTCAGTGTACTATATATATAAACTTTGGGTTTATTATATGAATATCTAATTTATTTTTAAATGATCTGGCCATTTATTAGAATCAAGAAGAGAAATGAAAAAAATAGCAATGTGGGACATAAGCTTATTTCAGCATTTTGCAATACTTAAACAGAAAAAATCATGGTGTATGGTAATGATATATATTATATATATATTATATATATATACACATACACACACATATAGGGATATGAATATATTTATGAATATATACATTCATATATATTCATTTTCTCCAATTAGGTTCCCTTTTGGCTCTCATAACAAGTGAAACTCTTTATGCTTAAGGCACATACAGGATATTAATTAATTGCATATCACTACTTACTTGTGTTGGTTTCAGAATCTTAAAGAGTTTAAGTGGTACTTAGGCAAAAAACTCCCTTGCACTTCAGCACGAGAGTAAGAACTGTAAAGGTTACATTTTGAATATGTTAGCTGGTTATACCCAATCAATAGCATGTAAAGTACGAAATATAATACATTTGGAAACTATATCCTAGCGTGAACCAGATGCAAGTTGTTCTACGCAAACCACTGGCATAATACTGAAAATCAGTATGCTTCACTATGCATCCATTCCATGATTTTTTCTAGATCACTGTTCACTGTAGCCAAATAGAATAATTTAGATTAATTTTAAAGTGATTTGGTTAATTTATGCTGATCATAAATAATGGGAATCTCCTACATTAGACTTTTTCAACCAAAATTCCTAATTCCCTTAGACTTAAGGAAGATATTGTTGCACTTAAACTATAGTATCAGTCACTCTTCCAACATCTTTGCAGTATTCTGACACCTTGGAAGCTAATGCCAGTCTTAGCTATGAATGCCATTGTTCTTTTAGTTTAGCCAAGTTTCAGATCCTTTCCATTCTGTTTACAAAGACAAAAAATAATGTAATGCATAATGGGAGAATGTGTTTGATGTGGAGATTTTCATAAAAAGTGTACATAAGGCTTGTGACAGCCTTGTAGAAAGTTAGGGACCCAATCCTGGTCTCACTGAGACCCAGTAAGTATTTTGACTTTGTTAAGAGCAATATTATGTTTCATAGAGAAGAGCAAAAATAGGTGTGGCAATCCCTTAAAAGAGAGACTGAAAAAAAAAGTCATTTACATACTGTGTGTGATAAGACATAATAATGGGCTTATCCACTCCCAGGAATCTTGCAGTGAATCAAGTTGTAGGTATAGGAGTTGAAATTAGAACTAACTGAATGTTTTATCTTTACATGAAACATGGGTAAAAAACTTTCATGTAAATTCAGAGTGCGGGCCACACATATGAAAGGCTGCAGGTTTCTTGAAGCTGTGGAGCTATGCCATGAACTAAGAGCTAACTTCTGAAGTAGAGATGTCTGTGGATCACTCTCTCTGGAAGCCTACTGCACCAGCCTGATGGTCTCCCCCAACCTGATTTTGTTCATAATTTTAGCTTTAGAATGATCCTGATCTGAATGAAGGCTATTAGGGTTAGTTACAGAACAGATGGGTCATCACGGGTCATAGTAGACTTCCTTGCAGAACGGCCTTTAGCCTTGTGCAAGAAGTACTACAGAACTTCTGAAAGCCAACAGTATGTTGACCTTTCCCTTTCCCTAGAGCATTAAAGCTCTGGTGGAGTCCAGAAACACTGACACCTCATTTATAAGACGATCCAACTTGTCTGAGATGGTCTCGTTTCCCAAGCGGGTAGCAGGTACACGCTCGCACCACCCTCAGGACCTCCCTCCAGGTTATCGATGCTGAAGGGAGTGAGGTTTCCCTGCAGGACCACGGACAGCGCCCGGCGCCCGGGCACTGACACGACGGCTCCAGCTTGCAGAAGAGGCAGACGTGCCCACCTCTGCCTTCAGCTGCACCCCCCGCTTCCCGCACCTTGTTTCTAAGGGAACCCATTCATAAAATCGGAAGATGAGTCCCACCAGCCAGTTCTGGGAGCTGGGAGATGTGTACTCAGAGGCACATCCATCCATAGGGCACAATAGTTAGTGAGGTATGATCCTGCCTTTCTGGTCGCCTGATTTCAAGCTCATTTTTCAGGGCTCTGATAGATGCATCCTTAAGCAGAGAAAGCGGGGGCTTGGCAGGGAGGAGATGCTTATTTTGACTGATAAAAAATAAGCACATCTCGGCACCATTTAGCAAAAGCAGGGAAATCGCACATTAGGAAATTGAACGGGATGCAGAGCCAAATGTATACAGACGTATGCAGAGATAGGTGTGAAAGCTACAGTGTTCAGACGAGGGTTTTTTTGCGGGGGGGAACAGCCACTAAAATGATATGTTCCCTCCATGTCGTCAATAGCAAACAGACGCTTCTAGACAAACAGGTCACCTACCCACGACCGGTGTATAAAAGCTGTGGGAAATCCACAGGGTTATGAACGGATTGCCTACAGACTTCATCCAAAATGCATATTCCTTGAGTTTAATTGCCATTACTACGCATCGCGGTGTAGCTGTCTACATATCTATATCCATGGCTACCATCTGTGTCTGTCGACATGCACACAATAT